GGGGGGAGCAATGGGCTACGACCTCGCTGGAAGCTCCTCGGGCTGAAGGCCCGCTTTCTGCGTGTTCGGTTCTGTCAAATCCGGGAGAGGGCGGCGGGCGAGGAGCACCTCCCGTCGCCGCTCGTGGCCACATGCCCGTCGGCACTCTCGGCAGCCCTTGGTGCCGTCCCCGATTCTCGAGCTGAAGGCTCGTCACCTCTGAGGTGGCTGGATGCGCCTTGGAGTCTCGAGCTGACGGCCCGCTCTGCTGTGTCACAGGTCGCTCCAAGGGCTGAAGGCCCATCTTCTATGTCAATTTTGCTACCTCCCGCTGCGTCTTGGACCCTCGAGCTGAAGGCTCGCTCCGTATGAGAATCTCGAGCTGACGGCTCGTCACGTCCGCGCCTGTCTGACTGGGGGGCGGGCGGCTGACGAAAGTCTTCGGGGTCAAGGGAGTTTCCAAGGAGTTGACTGGTCGCGGGATCGACCATGGCGCTGAGGCGTCGGCTTGGGGCGTCCACGGCTGCTGGGTCGATCGAAGCTGCTGTCTCGCTGGGAGCTCCTCGGGCTGAAGGCCCGTTGTCTGTTCGACTAGTGCTGTCAACTCCAGGGAAGGCGGGCACGTGGCGACTCATGTCGCCGCTAGTGGCCACATGCCCAGCAGCGCTCCCGAAGACCATTAGTGCCGTCTCAGGTTCTCGAGCTGAAGGCTCTTCATTTCTGAGGTTGCTAGATGTACCTTGGCGCCTGGAGCTGAAAGCTCGCTCAACTGTGTCAAAAGTCGCTCCAAGGGCTGAAGGGCCATCTTCTATGTTCAATTCGCAGCTGAAGGCTGCTTCACTCGGCGCAGAAGCATCCAGGAGGGGAAGTTCGGCGGAGTGAAGGCGCAAGCCTCTGCAAAGCGAGTCGGGGCCAAGGGCAGGCGTCTGCCTGTCTCCCCTCCCGACGCCCTCGCGAACACCCCCTGGGGGGGGCCAAATCCATAGTCCCCCCCTCCACGTCGCAGCGGCCCCTGGGTCGAACGTCGAGGGCATCCCTCTGGCAATCGCCAGTATGCGGACCACGCGGACCAGGATCCGCGGGGGGGTTCGTTTGTTCAGGAGTGGGGCCCTCGCCCCCCGTAATCCTGGCATCGCCGAGGGCGATCCAGCTCGGCCCAGCACCGCCTGGAGAGAAGGAGATTGGGCGCCCAGCAATGGGCATGGGAAGGGTTGGGGTGAGAGAGGGGGATAAGCTAGGCGGGAGGGCATCATGCCTGCCGTTATCAAATCCAGGGAAGCGACTGAAGGTCGCAATATCAGTGTGCATCGCGGGGTTGAACGCATCACCCCTCCTCCCGTTTGGCTGAAGGCAAACGGTTCTCGCGTGCATGTGGCGTCGGCGGAAGCGTTCCTGGTCCAGGGAGCAGGGGGCAACGGCTGCCCTGGCGGGATGGTGTCCTGTGATCCAGGGCGAGGATGCCTTGAGTCAGCCAGTCCGCTGGCCACAAAGTCGTCGACTGGCGACGCGGTCATCGTCTCTCCCGGGATGTTAGGACCTGGATCTCGAGCTGAAGGCTCGTCACTTCTGTGGTTACCGGATGCGCCTTGGACCCTCGAGCTGAAGGCTCGTTCCGCGTGAGTATCTCGAGCTGAAGGCACGTCACATCCGCGACTGTCCGGCTGGGGGGCGGGTGGCTGACGAAAGTCTTCGGGGTTGCAGGAGTGTCCAGGGAGTTGACTGGTCGTTGCATCGCCGTCGGCGCCGAACAGTCCGCTTGGGGCGCCCCAAGCTGCAGGATCGTTCGATGCTGCCGTCTCGCTGGGAACTCCTCGGGCTGAAGGCCCATTCTCTGCGTGCGAAGTGCTGTCAACTCCAGGAAGGGCGGCGGGCGCGCGGCGACTCCCGTCGCCTCTCGCGGCCACATGCCCAGCGGCACTGGACGCGTCCAAAGGAGGGTGGTCGGCGGAGTGTGGGCGTGAGCCAACGGGATGTGGATCGGGGACGTGGGCGGAATGCGCTCGGTCCGGCTCGTCCTTTCTGGAGCTGTGAGATATGCCTGTGGAGACTCCACCATCCGCTCGGGGAGGCGTCGTGGACCTCCTGTCGGGAAGAAACTGGTATCCGACCACGGGCGCTCCCTCAGCAGCACTCCCACCTGTCGCCACAATACTGTTGCCATGGGGGGAGCAATGGAGAATGAGGTGGTGGCCGACGGCCCCGGCGACTGGCAATGTGATAGCTTGAGCTCGTGTCGCCACAGGTTGAGCCCCAACCGCTTGAGCATCAACAGATAGCGCCCTCGAGATACTGTTGTCACCTCGACTGTCCAACTGGGGGGCGGGTGGCTGACGAAAGTCCTCGGGGTTACAGGAGTGTCCAGGGAGTTGACTGGTCGTTGCATCGCCGTCGGCGCCGAACAGTCCGCTTAGGGCGTCCCAAGCTGCAGGATCGCTCAGAGCTGCTGTCTCGCTGGGAGCTCCTCGGGCTGAAGGCCCATTCTCTACGTGCGCAATGCTGTCAACTCCAGGAGGGGCGGCGGGCGCGCGGCGACTCCCGTCGCCGCTCGTGGCCACGTGCCCAGCGGGGCCCCCGACAACCATTGGTGCCACCTCCGATTCTCGAGCTGAAGGCTCTTCACCTCTGTGGTTGCTCGATGTGTCAGTCTCTGGTGGGGATACGCAAAGCGTCAATAATTGGTACCATAGTCGCTGGTGAACAAATGCGTGTGAACCATCAGAAAGTAACCGGCGATCCCCGGTGCGGACTTGGACCAGGCACCGTGCACCGTGGAAGAACACGCCGAAGACCGCCCTCATGGCCAGGCGAAAGGTGGCGATCTCAGCCGCCGACTTCGACCGCTCCGCTGCGGCGTCGCTGGACGTCGGCACTTCCCCGCCGAGGTCGCCCGCCGTGGCATCGGTGCCAACGGACTGGTCCTGGACCAGCTCGCAGAGCGCACAGTACGCCGCGGTTAGCCCCCATCCCGCCGCGGGACCTTTGGAGCTGGCGCTGAGGCCGTGCAGGAGGTCCTTGAAGGCGAGGCCCAGGGTGATGTAGCCCATAGTCGCCAGCATGCTCACGAGGCCGTGCTTCAGCTCTGTGCGGCGTCGGCGGGCGAGGTTCTCCATGTTGCCATCCGCTGTGAGCCCAGCGGGATCCCAAGAGCCGACCGGATCATGCACGCCAAGCTCGCTCTCGGACGCCTCCTCCACCTCGCCCTCGATGCCCTCCCCCTCGTCCTCGACGTCGACGTCCCCCTCCACCTTGCCCACGCCCTCGTCCTCCATCGTCTCTTCCACGTCCTCGTCCACGCCCCCGTCCTCCATCGTCTCCTCCTCGCCCGCGGCCAGGGTCGTGAGCATGCTCACGGGGGCGTGCTTCAGGTCATCCTCGTCCTCCACCTCGGCATTGAGGGCCCCGAGGTACGACGTGCAGCCGGCAGGGTCCGAAAGGCCCGAGGGGGCCTGAACGCCCGGCTCGCTCTCGTTGCTGGCGCGCAGCGGGGATCCAGTGGGCGGCGCCCAGCCGCCCCCAGCAGAGTCAGTGCTGCCGGGCACCGCAAGGCCGGCCGCCGTGCCGCCCGCCGCCGTCGCCGCCGGCGACGAGCCGGCGGCGGCAGCAGCGGCGGCAGCGGCAGCAGCCGCGGCAAGGACGGCAGGGGCGGCACCGCCACCGGGCAAGGAGGCCGCGGCAGCCGCGACGCCAGCCGCGGCGGCCGCCGCCGGTGGCACGCCTGAAGCGGCCGCGGCGGCGGCGGCGGCGGCGGCCGCGGCGAGTGCATCGGCGGGCGGGCCACCGCCGCCAGCCGCCGCCGCAGGCGCAGCGGCGGCGGCGGCGGCCAGCCCCGGTGGCCCGCGGGCGGCAGCAGCCACCCGCTGCCGCCGCCGCAGGGCAGCGCCGGTGGCGGCGCAGGCGGCAGACATGTCGGCCACGGCCCGGGCGCGTACCTGAAAAGGGGCGGGCTCGAGCCGAGATGGCTTGAGCCAAAGCTACGAAGCTGGTGGGGATACGCGAAGTGTCTAGAATTGGTTGCCTCACTATCTCGAGCTCTCGACCAGTGACCGCCGGACTGCGCTCGTGCACCCGCCATCATTGGCCAGGATGTGGAGGTGGAGTGAGTAAGTAGCCACCCATGGCCCGTCTCTCTTTCCAATGGTGGGGGTTGAGGGTGGAGTGGGGGAGGGGAGGGTCCTCAGAGGCGGCCGTGCGCCGCTTTCGGCACGGCAGCGGACGCCTCCTTCAGCAGACTGCGCGCTCTGAGAGGCAGGGTTACACTGCTGACGCGGCAGCGCTACCCTCGGGACTGACTCGAAGAGCGCTCGCCCCAGGCAGCCCCCTAGCGAAGAAACCAGGGGGCCTGCATCCACATCCACCTAGAGATCCCAATGCGTAGGCGCAAGCTCACGCCAAGACCCCCTAACGGCCTTGTCCGTGTCCTTGTCCTTGTCCTTGTCCTCCTCCTCCTCCTCCTTTTTGACTCCGCGGGTTGCGCCGCAGCCGCTAACCGTCATAGGTATGAAGACACACAAAGAGAGAGAGAGAGAGAGAGAAAGAAAGAAAGAAAGAAAGAAAACAAAAAAGAGAGCGAGGGAGAGACAGAGCAGATTCAAGCGTCGCCGGCGTCGCCTAGAGTGAACAGACTGCAAGGCGATGCGCACGGACCGCAGGCCAAGGGCAACGGGGGACGCGAACCCGAGGAGGGACGGAACAAAGAGCGCCAGGAGCGGGGAGGGACCGAGCGGAGCAGAGGCAGGGAAGGAGAGCCCTCCTCCTCCTCCTCCTCCTCCTCCTCCTCCTCCTCCTCCTCCCTTCAGATCCGACGTTGCAAGCAAACATGCGACATCACGGACAATCACGACCAGAGCCCCAGACCGAATCTTTCTGCTGCATTTCTCGAGAGAGACCGGATTTCAGGGTCCTCCTCCTCCTCCTCCTCATCCTCCTCCTCATCCTCTTCCTCTTCCTCCTCCTCCTCCTCCTCCTCCTGCCTCTCCCGCCCTCCCCCCCCCCCCCTTGGGCGTCAAGGGCGCCGCGGTGTCCCGCTTCGCCCGCTCCAGCTCGTCATCCTGCTCGGACCTGCTGGGCGCCCAGGGCCGGGCGGGCGCGCGCGGCTGCGGTCAGGACGGCACCCGCCATCTGGCCCTTCGGTGCGGCATGCGGCGGCGGTGGCGAAGGCGGCGGCGACGGCGGGGACGAGACAACGGCGGCGACGGCGGCAGCGAAAGCGGCGCGGAGAAGGCGAAGGCGAATCCGAAGGCAGCGACTGTGACGGCGGCGAGGACGAGGCCTCCTCTCCCCGTCCAGCCCTGGCCACCTCCACTCCGAGGGGGGGGGGGGGGTGCAAACGACAGGAGGGGGACCGGTCCAGGCGGGGAAGCATCGACCTAGAATCGGCGATACAAAGCCGATAAATCGGCGACTGGCCCCCGATAGTAAATCCCCGCGCTCCTGGGCTGGATGGGGCCATCGGGCCCCCAGTGGCGATCAATGGGCGACGAGGGGTCGATGCAGATCCTCTGAGCGCATGCCCCCCAACCCTTGCCCACGACAGCGCCCCCCCCGTGCAATCACCCTGCCCTCCGCGCCCTCGAATCCAGTCCGATAGCCATCCCCCGTCCCCACGCCCACAACCCCCGTTACCCTGCCGCCCCCGCACCGGCGGAGGAAGGGGAGGGGAGTGTGGCGTGTGGCGGACAGGGAGGTAAAAGAACGGCGATGGTTTCCCACTCGTGTGCCGACCACGGTTGCAATTTAGCCAGCGCGCTACCCAGGGGGAGGTGACGGGGGGACGCCGCCGCGCGTTGCCAGCGGAGGAAGCGTTGATGCAACCATGTTTTCATCCCTCCTTCTCTCCTCCGTTTCCCCCCCTCTCTCTCTCTACCTCCCCTCGGTGGTCGTCGGTGAACCCAGCGCGGCCCCAATTAGGGGATAGTTTCCTACTGCGTGGGCGCAATGCTTGGCAGTGTTTGGCAGTGCTTTACACTGCTTTGCATTGGTTCTCATTGCTTTGCATTGCTTGGTGTTGCTTGCGATTGCTCGGCATTGTTCGGCTTTGCTTGGCACCGCTTGGCATGAGTTGCATTGGCTGGCGTTGCTTAGCATGGCTAGGAAAGGGCGTTCGCCCCGACCCAATTTCACTAGTGCGGCGGCAACTCGTACTACGGCACGCTCCCTTCATACCACGGCGTGTCCCCTTCAACCTCTCAGTTTCGATTGTGTGCGTACTTCTTTAGAATGAACCGTCTGCCCAAATTCACGAGCGTCGGATTCACTGGCGTCCTGTGCGCTCTCGGGTGCGCCCCGCGTGAATTGTCCAAGGGCCCCTGGACCGCTGTTTTGGACATTCTTTCCCAGAGTAGCACTTGATGGCCCCCGCGTGCCCGCGTGTTCCCAGGGCCATTCCTGCAGCCCTCCCCGAATCACATCGCCCCAAGGCCCCCCGTATTCCCGCGCGCGCCCACACTGCCCCACGGGCAAAACCGCGTGCGCTTGGAGACATATGACAGATGGCCGCGTACATGCGCGGAGAAACTGGTGTGACGGCGCGTGGGGCTGGGTAGATAGACGTGCCAAAACAAGGAGTCGAATGCAATTCTGCGTCCGTGCGAAGGCGGCGTGGCACATGTATATATATATATATATATATATATGGACGCCACCAGTCGAGCTAAACCGAGGGTGCGACGGCGCCTGGTGGGGGAATATCGATCGACAAAAACTGCGTTAATGAATCGGATACACCGCACCAACTATTCGAAGCCGGCGGTGCGACGGCGAACGTTCGTTGAAAATTGACCAGAACGGAGATCAAGACAGGGCGAACCCCGCCGTGCATTGCTTGACATTGCTTTGCAATGCCTGGGAACCCGAAGAACGAGACCACGGAACCCCAGGAAACCAAGCGCCCAAGCGCGGAGCAACACTAGGGAACACGGGGAACCTGAGCTTGCCCTCGGCCCATCCCGCCATCGCGCCTGGGTTGTAGGCCAGAAACCTCTCGTTGTCCTCTTGGCCCGTTTTGGGGCGTTCGTTGCTCCGAATGTGGCGCGGCGGCGGCGGGAACCCGAGGAATCTGGGGGGCCCGAAGAACCTCCGAGGAACGGGCAACGCAACAATGCGAGGCACCGTGGGCGGGGAATTCGACGAACCCGTGGAACCAGATAAACTTCCAGGACACGGGCAACACAACTATAGGAGGCACCAGGGGCGAGGAACCCGAGGAACCCGAGGAACCTCCGAGCAACGGTTTCGTTATCAAGACTAAGACTCCTGGAAACGATGCAAGATCGGCCCTGCCGTTTCCAAGAACTACTGAGTCCCTCCCTCTCTCCCTCTCTCTCTCTCTCTCTTTGTTTCCGCTTCCTCTCCCTCGCCACTCGCCTCGTCCCTCCGGCCGGGTGGGATCGCTGAGAGTTCTGGCGCGCCACGCGTTTCGTCTTCGTGATCGGCGGCGCGGCCAGGGCCGTGTCCCTTGTGGAAAACCCGCCGCATTTGCCACTGCAGCTGGAGGTAAATGCAACAGCAGCAGGAGAACACGAATCGGGCGGAACCAGGGGAAAAGGAGGAGGAGGACGAGGAGTAGGAGGACGAGGAAGAGGAGAAGGAGGAGGATGGGGAGGAGGAAGAGGAGGACGAGGAGGAGGAGGAGAAGGACCGGGAAAGGAAGAGCAGGAGGAGGAAGAGGAAAACGAGGAGGAAATAGAGGTGGAGGTGGAGAAGGTGGCGCGCCCGCGCAAGGCCGACTGTGCTCGACGGCAACCCCTCTTGCCGTGAAGTCCCGACAAGACACTCTGGTTCTCCTGTTTGTTGTTTCTCTTCCTCGTCCTCCTCCTCCTCCTCCTCTTCCTCCTCCTCCTCCGAATTCATCAACCTTCGGCATGAACCCGTAAACCCACACCCATCAATCCTCACCTTACCCTCGCCGTCCTCGCCCTTCCTACGCCGCCCTCCTCATCCACGCCCTCCTGCTGGTGCTGCTGTTCCTTCTCCTCCTCTTATTTTTATGTTTAGTATTATTGTTTTCATTCCTCTTATTATTCTTTTTCGTATTAGTGTTCCTCTTATTCGTACTAGTATTAGCGTCAGTAGTATGATTACCATTATTATTCTTACTGATAGTATTCGCATTCATCGTCTTACGATTCGTATTACCATTATTCGTATTAGTGTTGTGATTATTCCTATCATTATTACTAGTTTTCTTAGTGCTGCTAGTCACCGTATTATGTTTAGTAGTAATAGCAGTACGAATCTTTCTGTGATTAGCATACCATGCTTGTTATTCGTACTGATACATTATTCTTGATCGTAATATGACCACTACTGTTATTAGTAGTAATAATACGAGTCTACTCATTAGCATTCCAATTACCAGTAGTAACACTAGTTGTAGCAGTAGTAGCATTATTATTCGCATTCCAAATATTAGCATTATTACCCGTAGTATTACTATTAGTATCAGTGGTCACAGTGTCGTTCTTTTTCGTCACACTATTAGTATTACATGTTACCAATGCTACTGGTTGGTTTCGTAGTGTTGGTAGCATTCGTAGTATTCGTGTTTTTCGTAGCATTAACATTCGAGGCATTATGGCATCATTCGTATCAACATTCTTATTCGGATTACAAATACTATTCGTGTTCGAAGTCGTAATATGAATACGATTCGCAGTCGTAGCGCTCTCATCCTTATTCGTATGGATGATGATAGTCTAGTTAGTGGTATTCGTATTATTCGCATTCGTATTATTATGTTCCTTCCTGCTCCTCCTCCCCCTCCTCTTCCGCCACCGCCTCCGCCTCCTCCTCCCCCTCCTCCTCCTCCTCCTCCTCCGCATCATTATCGTCATCGTCATCATCATTATTATCAGCATCATCCGCATCATCATCACAACCATCACCACCACCAACAACACCACCGTCGCCATTGTTACCATCATGCTGACTTGCAACCATCCTTATCCTCATCCGCTTAGAGAAGGGGCCGCCCAGACCAATTCTTGAGCCTCTCTGCGGAATCGACCTCCTGGCGAAGCTCCTGATACGGGAAAGCGAAAGAACGACGGACAACGGAGGAGGATGAGGAGGAGGAGGACGACGACAGAGGACAGACAACGGACGATTGACGACTGACGTTTCACGACTGACGACGACGGAGGACGGCGACGGCCACGGCGACGGAGCATGGCGACGGCGACGGCGACGACGACCGCGAACATCAGAGGGAGGCGGAAGCGGGACTGGCAGGAGCGCAAGCAGCGGAGCAACGGAGGCAAGGACGGGGCAGAAGCGGGAGGAGCCCAGGCAACAGCAGCAGACGGGGCGGGAGCCTCCCCCCTCCACCCTCCTCCTCCACCTCCTGCACCCTCCTCTTCCTCCTCCTCCACCTCCGCCATCCTCCTCCTAACCTTCCTGTTCTATCCCTTTTTCTTCAAAGCAACTCCTCCGCGTCGCATCCCAAGACGGGATTTCCCGGATGGATGGCGGTTCCTTTTTAACATGTGGCTCTCCGTCTTAGCGCCGCGCACATTCCTCATGAAAGTTCGCATGTCATCTCAGCGTCCGCAAGCACTCGTCTCAGCGCCGCGCACGGATGGAGGCCGGGCAATTTTCAAAATGTTGCCTCGCTCCAACGCCGCGCACCTTCGTCTTAAATATGTGCAACAGTTTCACGAATGGAATGCAGCTCATTTTCAATGCGGTTTTCGTCTTAGCGCCGCACACATTCGTCTTGAAGGTTTGCATGGGGTTCACGGATGCAGGGCGGGCGGTTTCCAACATGTGGCTCTCGCCTTAGCGTCGCGCACACTCGTCTTAACCATGTGCAAAGAGCTTCACGGATGACGGTGGTTCCTTTTCAAGATGTGGCTCTCGTCTTTGCGCCGCGCACACTCGTCTTGAATATTTGTATGAGTTTCACGGATGGAGGGCGGACAGTTTCCGACTCGCCTCAGCGCCGCGCGCGCTCGTTCGAAAAAATGCTAGAGCTTTATGGATGGAGTGCGGTTCTTTTTCAGCATGTGGCACTCGTCTTAGCGCCAGACGCGTTTGTCTGAAAATCTAGAAAATCTTGCAAGATCTTCAGGGGCGGATGACAACGCCTTCTGAAAACGAGGCTGCCGCTTTCGCGCCGCGCACATTCGTCTTAGGTGCGAGAGTTTCACGGGTGAAGACGGGCCTTTTTTGAACATGCGCCGCGCACATTCGCCGTAATACTTTGAACGGGCTTCCCGGATGGATGGCGGTTCCTTTTCAACTTGTGGCTCTCGTCTTAGCGCCGCGCACGTTCCTCATGAAAGTTCGCATGTCATTTTAGCGTCCGCAAACGCTCGTCTTAGTGCCGCGCAAGGATGGAGTCCGGGCAATTTTCAGAATGCTGCCTCGCCCCAACGCCGCGCACCTTCGTCTTAAACATATGCAAAGGCTTCACGAATGGAAGGCGGCTCATTCTCAATGCAGTTTTCGTTTTAGCGCCGCACACATTCGTCTTGAAAGCTTGCATGGGGTTCACGGATGCAGGGCGGGCGGTTTCCAACATGTGGCTTGCGTCTTAGCGTCGCGCACATTCGTCTTAAACATGCGCAAAAAGCTTCACGGATGAAGGCGCTTCCTTTTCAAGATGTGGCTCTCGTCTTTGCGCCGTGCACATTCGTCTTGAAAGTTTGGGCGGCCGTGGTCTCTCACAAGGCTGGCTGGGCCAGGACATGTTGATCGATATTACAGGAAGAAGCATTAAGGTTGCCCCCGCTGTCTCTGTCTGTGCCTGTACCTCTGTCTCTGTCTCTGTCTCTCTCTCTCTCTCTTTTTCTCTCTTTCTCTCTCTCTCTCTCTCTCTCTCTCTCTCTCTCTCTCTCTCTCCCCCAAGCGCGGCGCGGGCCCGAGGCAGGACACGGGACCCGGCGAAGATGGCCCGCAACGCTGCCCACCCCGCGTTGGCAAGGCAGGGGCGGGACTAATTAGGCCTGCGGAAACTGCGCCCAACCCCCCCGATACGGAGCATCTGCTCACTCTCGGCGGACGGGGGCGGGGTTGGGCCCGCAGGGGCGTGCCCTCAAGGAGCTCGCGAAAACTGCGGGCCAGCAGTGCAAGGCCCCCTGCTCGCCGAACCCAAGCGAAGAAAAGCTGCGACTAGGCCCGCGGAAACTGCGGCCCCCCCCCCAAAAAAAAAGACCCGCCAATCTCCTCACCCCAAAAAGACAATGAATAACAGCACTTGGACTCAAAACAACTGCGGGCCAACAAAAAAATAGCCCGCAAATCCCCTCACCAGAAACATCTGCGAGTGGGCTAGCAGAAACTGCATGCCAACGCAGAATGGACCGCAAATTTGTTGTGGGAGTGGGTGCGCGGAAATTGCGGGCCCCCAAAAATGGCCCGCTAATCTCCTCACCCCGAACAAGCTAGGACAAGCAGCGATTGGGCTGGCTGTGGGCCCCCAAAAAAACCCGCAAATCTCCTCACCCCAAAAAGACCAGGCATAACGGTACTTGGGCTCGCAAAAACTGCGGGCCGAAAAAAAATAGCCCGCAAATCCCCTCACCAGAAACAGCTGCGATTGGGCTCGCAGAAACTGCAAGCCAACGCAGAATGGACCGCAGATCAGTTGTGGGATTGGGTTCGCGTAAATTGCGGGCCAGAAAAAAATGGCCCGCAAATCTCCTCACCCCAAACAGAACAGGACAGGCAGCGATGGGGATAGCAAAAACTGCGGGCCCCCAAAAAATGGCCCGCATATCTCCCCACCACAATAGGACCAGGAATGCCTGCACTTGGGCTCGCAAAAACTGCAGGCCAAAAAAATGGCCCGCACATTTCCTCACCCCAAGACCAGGAAAAGCTCGCAAAAACTGCGGGCCAAAAAAAATGGCCCGGACATTTCCTCGCCCCAAAAAGACCAGGACAGGCTGCAATTGAGCTTGCAAAAACAATTGCGGGCCCTCCAAAAATAGCCCGCAAATCTCCGGCGCATGCGGCCTGTGCCACTGGGGCTTTCGGTGGAACTCCCTATGGGGCCACGAACCGTGTGAAGGGTGTGCCACAATGGGCGTCGGGCGCATGCGGCCTGCGCCAGTGGGGCCTTCGGTGGAGCTCCCTATGGGGCCGCGAACCGTGAGAGGCGTGCCACAATGGGCGTCGGGCGCATGCGGCCTGTGCCACTGGGGACTTCGGTGGAACACCCCGTGGGGCCACGATCCTCGTGAGGGGTGTGCCACAATGGGCGTCGGGCGCATGCGGACTGTGCTATTGGGGCCTTCGGTGGAGCTCCCTGTGGGGCCACGAACCGTGAGGGGCGTGCAAAACTGGGCGCCGTGCGCATGCGGACCCTGCGCCGCTGGGCGGGGCCCCTCGGTGGAGCTCCCTATGGGGCTGGGAGGAACCGTATGAGGGGTGTGCCACAATGGGCGTCGGGCGCATGCGGCCTGTGCCACTGGGGCTTTTGGCGGAGCTCCCTATGGTGCCACGAACCGTGTGAGGGCTGTGCCACAATGGGCGTCGGGCGCATGTGGTCTGTGCCACTAGGGCCTTCGGTGGAGCTTGCTATTGGGCCAGGATCTGTGTGAGTGGTGTGCCACAATGGGCGTCGGGCGCTTGTGGCCTGTTCCTCTGGAGTCCTCGGTGGAGCTCCCATGGAGCTACGAACCGTGTGAAGGGTGTGCCAAAATGGGCGTCGGGCGCATGCGGTCTGTGCCAGGGGGCCTTCGTTCCATATAGGGCCAGGAACCGTGTTGGGGGGTGTACCACGGGAGTCGGGCGCATGCGGCCTGTGCCACTGGGGCCTTCGGTGGAGTTCCTATGGCGTCACGAACCGTGTAAGGGGTATGCCAAAATGGGCGTCGGGCGCATGCGTCCTGTGCCACTGGGGCTTTCGGCGGAGCTCAGGAACCGTGAGAGAGGTGTGTCAAAATGGGCGTCGGGCGCATGCGGACCCTGCGCCGCTGGGGCCCTCGGTGAGCCCCTATGGGGTCACGAGCCGTGTGAGGGATGCGCCAAAATGGGCGTCGGTCGCATGCGGTCTGTGCCACTGGGGCCTTCGGTGGAGCTCCCTGTTGGGCCAGCCGTGTGTGGGGTGTGCCAAAATGGACGTCGGGCGCATGCGGCCTGTGCCACTGAGGCCTTCGGTGGAGCTCCCATGGAGCCACGAGCCTGTGAAGGGTGCGCCAAAATGGGGGCGTTGGGCGCATGCGGACTGTGCCTCTAGGGCCTTCGGTGGAGCTCCCTATGGGGCCACGGGCCGTGTGAGGGGTGTGCCAAAACGGGCGTCGGGCGCATGCGGCCTGCGCCAGTGGGGCCTTCGGTGGAGCTCCCTATGGGGCCACGATCCTTGTGAGAGGTGTGCCTAAATGGTGGGCATGCGAAGAGCAGAGGCACGGAGGGGAGGAGGGAAGAGGGGGCAGCGGGAGGTGAGGTAAGTGACGCGGGGCGCTGTCTCTTCAAAACGAGGGCGCAACACCACAGGATGGTTGGGAACATTATCCTGGCGAAGGGCCCAACCATATGCAGTTGTGGGTACCGTAATTGTGAATATCTGCTTCGGTGAAGCTCCCTATGGGGCCACGAAGCGCTGCACTGGGCGAGGGGGAACGCTGTACTGTGTGGGTGGTGTGCCGAATTGGGTTTCCGGGACGCATGCGGACGGTCCCACTGAGGGCTTCAGTGGGGCTCCCCATGGGGTCACGAAGCGCTCTACTGAGTGAGTGAAAATGCCAAATTGGGTTACCGGGACGCATGCGGGCGGTCCAACTGGGGGCTTCGGTGGAGCCCCCTACCCCCTACGGGGCCACGAAACGCTGCACTGCGCGGGTGAAAATGCCAAATTACATTTCCCGGACGCATGCTGGCGGTGGCACTGGGGCCTTGGGTGGAGCCCCCTATGGGGCCACGAAACGCTGCACTGGGTGAGCGAAAATGCCAAATTGGGCTTCCGGGACGCGTGCGGACGGGGGCACTGGGGCCTTCGGTGGAGCTCCCTATGGGGCCACGAAGCGCTGTAATGGGTGGGTGAAACGCAGGGAGGAGGGGGAGAAGGGCCACGAAACG